CCTATGTTTGAAACTTTTCCATCTTCAAGAACATCTTGCTCTTTTAGGGAGCCCCGCTGCTCATGTTGACAAGCAAACTCAATTCTCTACTTACACTGCAGGAAAAAGGGTCCAAAGTGTGAACCCACCCATCTCTGTTCCTACCAGTCGGTGGCAAAGCCTGTTCCCACTAGTTTTGGTTCCCAATTGCAACCTCCTTGCATGTGACTCATTTTTAATTCCAGAAATTGGTTTGATTTTTGTTTCGTTTCCCAGCTGAAAGTGGATGCTAACGTTTTAAATTCTTCGCAGTGAACCTGGAGCCAGTATTTAATGGTTTCTGAAGTGGTTATGGGACAAAATGAGTGCACTGGTTCAAAAGTCAGTGGAAACATGTTGTATTTAAACAGTCGCTGCATATTTGCTAACATGCAAAATGACAGAAATCAAGCTAAGATGAGTTATTTGTATGTATACTTTCTTCAGATATTTGTGCCTTCTGCTTTATAATTTGCCTGTTATTCGTGGTACTGTCTTCCACACATCACTGTCTTATATTCTTAATATAGTACTCTTTTAATGAACTGTTTTAATTTGGCCTCATGAGTTGAATGTCCCCCACTTGGGAAAGCAACTAAAGTGAAAAAGATTTAGACTACAGGGTTTAGATCGGAGTGCTTAAATTGAGAGGTTTCAATGAATGAGTTACCGGTCAGAGAGGTAGCTCACCCTTCAGCACCATCCCTGGAGGCCAACCAACTGTGCCACCATCACAGTTCCTTCATGAGCAAGCAAGAAACTGTACAGCGACATCAAAACTTCAGTATAAACTCAGTGCACGCGCCACTGCCATGCAGATTACACAACTCTACTAACTCATATGCATAAGGTACACACCTCTGTGATTTAACTCGGGGAGCTTTAAATGGGATTACTTTGCAAATACTACATACAATTTTCTGTAACTACTTGCACTTAACTTCTTATGGAATTATTTTTCTATATAAACAAGCAGCTAGTTGGCTGAACCATAGGGAAGCTGGTCCTTATTGTTAATTCTCACCAGGCACAAACATGGGACATAAAAAGCAAAAGCAAAACCTCTCACCATCTCAAGCCCATCTTCTAATGCACTCGCTTATTTTTACACTTTCTCCTGTGCTATGATGTGGAGTATAGAAGAGTACTTCTGTGTTGCTTTTTATACGGTGTATTTGTTTTTCTGGAAAGGTATCTGCTGAGACTGTTTTAGGAGCAACACTAGGTGGCCAAACCAGGTACCCACAGAGCAAGTTGAATATTAATGGAACACATATGTATGAACATAACTATGAATACTTTGCGCATGTAACTTACACCTCAATGCCACCAGGTAAGATCTTTGTCAGACATTTTCCAACACTAGTACCATATGCTAACTCACTACACTGGTCTTTCTCCGACCAGCTATTTCCAGACCTTTGAATTCTCCCTTCCTTCCTCTCAATCTCTCCCCTCCAGCTCCAAAACTTTCTTTGTCCATATGGATAACTTACAGTACCTGCAAAAGTTGTGACTGTGGGATACTGCCATTTGTTTGCTGGCACCAGGCAACCATTTGCTCTGGAAAGAAGTTCTAGACACAAAAAGAGAAGACAATTGGAAGTCACATCATATTTGAACATTTTTACATAGAACAAGTGGAATTTTCTTCCAGTCATTAATTTTTTGAAACTATAACTCTTAAATCAATTTGGAGATCCCCTGACACAGAAAGTCATACTAGGGCTTTCAAGTGCAATTCTTCTCTTCCTTCTGCTCACCAAACACTCATGCAGACAGAATGTGGACTTTTAAAATACCTGATATGCAGTATTTCCTAAGTGCATTTTCCCATCGCTTCCTTTTCTACTGAGGGCTTTCGGGGATCTCTAACAGCCCCTACTTTCTAGGAAAGGACAGGATGAATGGACCTGCAGGTTGGCTACTCAGTGACTCCTTGCTTATTGCACATTCTGCCACCAAATTCCTGGGCTTCTGTTCCCATGCAGAAAGGCTGTTCAGCAAACAAACTCTCTGTAACTTCACTTGCCATGTGGAAGATGTAGAGCAGGAGGAATAACAAGTTTTCTCTAGTCTCACAGAGGTAAGCTGGATGCAAATGCAGTAAAAGAAGTCTCAGGTGGGGATGCAGCAGGATCTCCAGTATGTACCCCTTCACCTTTGACAGCACTCTCTTTCCATCCAAAATACAGTTCTTTAGTGCTGTATCTGCTTGACCCTAAAACCTGCTCAGTCCCTCAGAAGGCTCCACACGAATTGCCATTCGCAGACCTTAATTATGAGAAAGAGCTCATGTGTGACTGTTGATGCTTTCATTTGGTTGTTAAACAGCCAGGTTATGGTCAGGGCTTGAAACCCTTCAATCTGCCAAGAGAAAAGCCCTTTGCAAAATCTACCCCTATATGTTTGTATTTCAGGGCAACATAACACAGCACTGTGTTTTTTCTTGTAAGGACAGGTCAGCACGCAGTCCATGAAATGAAATATTAAAAACTGAACGAGGACACCTGCGCAGTAATTAGCCTCTGTGTCACGTGCCTACTTTACGTGCTAGGTTTGAATAATCTCAAAGCAGACTTCTACCTCCTTTCCCCCATCCTGCGATCACAGAAGCAAATATTGTTTGACACACAAATAGGTGCTTCTACAGAGCTTTTTGATTTCAGGCATGTGGTACAATATCTCATTCATACTGAATCTTTGCATGACAAAGGTCAGACAGTTTTCTGAGTGCTAAATCGATGACTTGACTAGATTTATTCCTCTAGTTCCCCTTTTCATTTGCCATGTCTTAAAAAGCCTATATAATTCGGTACACTGAATTTACTATACACAGCAATTACATGAAGTCATTCTTGGAGTTTTTAAACATTATTTGAAGCATGAAGACATGCAGAAATGCCTGAAATAAAACAATGACTGATTATAACAAGATGAATCACAACAAAAACGTTTCCAATTTAGAACATGTGTCACTCTTCAGGCAATACGAATTTCAGTCTTTAGGGTATAAAGAGAAGGGCTGAAGAGGAATCACCCTTCTGCCAGGTAAGCTGCACAATGAATTATGAAAACTAACATTTACCAGCCTCTCTTGAGTAGAAACAGCGCCATATGGCAACAGCTAATGCAACGGATAGGGAGCCTTCACATTCTTACACCAAAAGAATGATTTATTCTCTGATTGCAGGAGCCTGGGACTGAATGCCAAGCATTCTGGGTTTTACTCCCATGCTCTGTTATTAATTAAAGTATACCACATGAAACCAATGTGCTAGCTCCTGTGATACCAAGATTTCTGTACAACACTCAGATGTTCATAGGTTATCAGATGGGAAGATCAACAGAAGTGAAAAATTACAAACACTTCATGTGCAGAAACGTTTCACACAGTAAGTCAAGGCGCAGCCTCTGAAACAAGCACTAGCAGATGACAAATGTACATGCAAGCACACGTGCAAGGACGCAGCAACTGTGCATTAGCGTCTATGAGGAAAGGAATGAATTCATCATCTGCAGTAATTTCAGCAATGACTTCTCATGTGACCTCATGTATCTTTTTTCTTCTGGCACCACAAACGCCCGACTGACCCAAAATCTGTTCTCACCTAAACCACCTCTGGATTATCCTTCTTCAGCTATCTAGATGGGTCGCATCAGCTGACAGTGGTTCATATCAAGAGCCCGTTCCAACTTAATTGTTTAGATAAAATGTGAACAATCATCCCCAAATAAGCAGTTACACTGCAAAACCATTTAAAATTACGACATTCAAATGATCTTACAAATCCAGGAATAAGCATAGCTATGACATACAATACTTTTCAAGCATAGATACATCATGAGGACATAAAGACAGTGAGTTATTATGATCAGTAAAGAAGGCAGAGCACATTAGTAAAGCACAGCCATAGGTGAGACACTGTTCAACATATGTAACGATAAACTGGAAATTCCTTGTATGTAGTAAGCGTTTTATGGAGTACCCAGAGGGTACTGTTTGGTTGTTGTTTTTTTTTTTTTAAATTATTACTGTCAGATATTAAAAGGTTTGGATATGCACACTATGCAATCAATTTGCTTCAAATCAACTAACTTTGAAAATAATGAGTAAATTGCACTTCTGACTGTTTTTCTTAAACCAACAAAGATTTCCCTGTCTTGGTCACTCTCCAACATAACAATAGCCATTTTGAAACAAGTATATTTGGTTACTTGAAAACACTTGAGGTTTTTAGGCTAGGAGAAGAGTACAAGGAATTTAAACATTGGTTAAAATTTCTTTGGAAAGAATTCTGTTTGTTGGTTGCTTTTATTTTTAATAGATGTTTAAGACATAACAGCGCCCAACAATGTAATTGCAATCCATCCCTCTGTGCTGTAAACAACTAAGTAATGAGACTCACCATGGGATTTTTGAAAAATTCATATTTTGCGTAATTCTTCCTGAACAAAAATTTACTTTCACTTCCCATTGTGGACTCGACTTGAACTATGAGCTCATGATCTTCCAAGCACCTCTCTGTGGAAAAAGAACGCGATGTTAACACAACCAGCAGAAGCAGCAGGATCAACTTCCAATGAACAGGAGTAAAACAACCCAGTATAATTCTGTTACCTTTTAAGAAGTTAACAAAACATATTACAGCTTTCAAACCACGCTGCTATGAGGCACTTAAGGAACTAGGGCGTAAGTATTACAAAGTTAAACGTTACATGGTAGTGTTCTTCAAAGATCTCCAACATCATGGCTTTATAAGCACAGACTTTTGAGAAAGGAAAGAACATAAGATTTTTTGTGTGCAGTAGCTTAAATAATACACACGAACCTCTTCTTTTGGTGCTGGCTATATACTGTGAAACTGGCAAGGTGGACAGATTTAAGGGGAAAAAAGTTGCAGAAAGGCTACCATTTGGTCTTGAGCTATCACAGAAATACAGCGGCCTATTTGATCACACTCTATAAAACCAGTTCATTTCAAGGTGAACTTCAGGCCTTTATTGTAGATGCTAGACAATAGGGTTTATTATGAAAGAGGTCACAGGATCTACTTTACAGGAATACTGACAGAGACAAATGTTTTGTACACATGACAGGGCAATTTTCTGCTCTAGATTTGGTTAGAAGGTAACTCCCCATAACCACCACTTCTCTGGTCAAAAGAATGGCACAGCAAAGCATGAACAGATAGCTTAACAAATCCAATTCACTGAAAGCAGTAACTTGAAAGAAGGCAACTGGGCTGAGTGTGCACTACTTAATGAACTCACTATCTTGGCAAATCTTCACAAGTTTCCGAGAAAATATTTAGGTATTTTTCAAAAGTCTTAATAGTCAGTACTTTCATCCCTTATAGAATAGGAAATAAAAATGAGGTCCAACAAAAAGTAACTTTCACAAAGCTCTATCCAAAAATGCATGTGACTTGCTGGCCAAAGAAGTTTGGAGAGTCTTTTCCCCACTTCATGTTCCTGCGTCCTCGCATTCCCACAGTCAGAAATGCCAGGCTGCCACCCAAGTTCTCTTGGGTTGTTTTCAGGATAGAAAGCAAGCAGTCAGTGGTATCTCAAAAAGTAGCAAGCTCTTGAATGTCACTTCAATTATTCAACTTAGCAGATTAATGTAAGTTCTTTGATTGAAAATTTAACCTAACTCTGAATGATGTCATTGTCTTTTTCACCTGCATTTAGACTGTCAGTCATCACCAGCTCACTGATGACTTCAGCATTTACCGTGCATTTGCAACGTCCAGCCTCCCTACAGATTGTGTTTCAAGGTGTTAACATTGAAGATTTCCCATACTGGCCTGCTCTCAAATAAAGAGCTGCTGCTTAGTACATTAGCCATAACACCACACGACAATACTGCTGTCGGTAGCAGTTAATTAAGGATATTTTGCACCACTTGAGCATTCATCACCTAAATTTCCACATTATCTAGGGCCTTCACAGGTGAAGTTTCAGCTATTGCTGCTGATCTATTGCTACTGTCATGGTTTTAGGGAACTGGTTAAAGTCAAATGTCCTCCACACTGTGATGAGGATGGTGGCCCTATAAGCATGGAGGGCCTTTCAGTTTTTTAAACTATGCTTCCTCCAAAAAACATTTAATTATATTGGTATGAATCTTCATCACAGTACGATCCCTGAAAGACCATGTGTCCTGCTACTGCCTGCTTCTGTCATCACACAAAGTTGTAGTCTTCGCTTTCCTAAGGGCAGGGACAAACCACATCCTGTTCATTCTGTCCTGAGGAAATGCAGTATAGAATCATGGAATGGTTTGGGTTGGAAGGGACCTCAAAGACCATCTAGTTCCAAGCCCCCTGCCATGGGCAGGGACACCCTCCACTAGACCAGGTTGCCCAAAGCCCCATCCAACCTGGCCTTGAACACTTCCAGGGATGGGGCAGCCACAACTTCTCTGGGCAACCTGTGCCAGTGCCTCATTACCCTCAGAGTAACATTTGTCAATTAGTTTTGTATTTTGATAGTTAGTTTGTGTAAATACACCCAGTGACTGTTTCATAGATTGCTCTAGGCAATACCTAGACGATTTTATTTATTAAATCAAGACCCTTTTGAGATTCTGTGGTGATATTCCCACTGATGTAATATTTACATTTTCATTTTGATGGTGAAAGCCATCTTAAAGAAAAGGTGCAGCATTTCATAGCATGTGCATGTAAAAAGGAAGTTAGTCCTGATCAGTTTGCTACTGCTTCATGTAAGATTTACACTTGGGAAGTCCTTGGTAATTTGCACTTGGTTAGTACAAATGGGATGAACTGCCACTTGACACACCAGCAACTCAACCTCAGCCCTGCTTTGAGCTTCCTGCTGCAAAACTAGAAGCACAGATGTCAGTCTATTAAGTTCAATAGGTCGGTCTGTCTTCAAGCGGCATTGCTGCTGAAGTGACCAGAAATGTCTCCTTATAAGTTTAGCTGATAGGCTCAACTCAGTCTCCTCTACACACTGCCTAAAAGAATAGGACAGACTCTTTTTTTTTTTCTTCTTCAAAATGACCCTAAAATTCTACAGAACTGTAGAAGTGATACAAGATGGGAAAAGGAGCTGGATTCCACTGTGAACAACTCGCAGGCATGGCCCAAAATTCCCACTTACAGAAACACTACAAATGACAGGGGGACCAAAGCGTGAAATAGCCCACCCTGTTTTCATACTTTAGCAAGCACTGTGTCTAACTGTTCCACTTTTAATTTGTTCAGATTAAGGCAAATAGAATTTAATGCACATATAAACAAAAAAAAATATCTCTGTACATAACTATGCAGCAATTCTTTCCTCTAACCCTACATGTACTTCAGAGCCCTACTACTTTTCTGCTTCAACTATATTAAATAAGATGTACAGTCAATTCTCGAGCTGGAAAAATGAGATTTGTAGGCAGGGATTCTTTCAGCGTCCAGACCCACACTATCATGACAGTGTCTGTCTTCATCATTATTATTTCTGTTAATGTCTGATACAGATATCTGAGTCCCTGTCCCAAACTGATGATAGTTAAGCATGGAGTAGCACATAGGGAGAATACCACATTTTATGGACAGGTTAGGTGTATTCCTAGTTGCAAATGAAATAATGGGACCAATTCAAGTTTCACAGACTGATTAAATCTTGACCACAAAGCATTTTAGATACTCGTGGTACAATGCAGCAGGAACCATTTCCGCATGTCAAATCTAAGCAAGTCTGATGGTAAATTGTCACACATTGCCTCCAGTGAGAACACAAATACTTTGTGCAGTCCAGTAGTAGTTTGAAGTGTGTTTGCCAACACACGTGTTATTTGGAATACACTTGACTATGCGTGCAAAGCAAGCAGTCAGGTGAAGCTTCTTTAAAAACTGAGACCCGGAAAATCATCACAACGGTAAGTATGCAGCTAGCTTTGAAAATTTGTTCTTGTCCTCAGTCTGCCCAACTGCAAAAAGATGAACTGGTTCTGCAAACTGAGCTCTTTTGGAATGTAATACTAGGCAAGACTAGGGAAAAAAAAAAAAGGAAGATAGTGAACTTAATGAAGGAACTCGCCTCTATTGGTGGGCTTCAAAATCAGCTATAGCATTAAGTCAGCAAGGATGTCTTGAGTAAGAAATAAAGTCTTCTGGAAACAGAATTCTCACTGCTCTTAAGCCATATTGCTTTCCACACTGCTATGTAGCTATTTGCCATTGCTAATATAATTAGCAATCTTATTTCTAGAGGGAAAAATATGGAACATCAGACACCTGATAATAACTTCACCTAAGGTGCAGATTACTGCCTTGATCTGACAGTCTCTGAAACACAGGGAAGCATTTAAGCTACTGAGAAGCTACAAAATAAGCAGCCGTATGACAAAAAATTCAAACTGGAACCAAAACTGGGTGGATGCATGAAAGCTGGTATTTAAAGTTTATTGACTATGTCACAGTGCGTATATAACTTTGGCCCCCAAATACAAGAAATTGGATGTTGTTGTCTCCCGTTAAATGAACTCTTTCCTTCCCTTTTCTGCCACGTCCATGAAATCCATATCATTACACCTTTTTTGATGCTCTCAATACTTTTTTCTTTGTCTGTTTGCTTTTACACCCTCAAAGGCTGAGTTACTTTTCACGCAGATCTGCTGCATGGCCCACGGAGGACAGCCCTGGACCAGTCCCTGCCGAACAAAGTTTGGTGGCTGCTGGAGCCCCAACCTGCGCACCCCATTTCTCTGTGACAGCCGGGGCCCCGCTTTGTGCTTCACTGTGAAACAGAGGTCCAAGGCAGGCAGGTCCCCACGTATATAAATGCAGCCCGATAAGTATCTTGCTCTTTTCCCATCATTGTTAATTACCAAGTTATTTGTGTGTAAACAGAAGCTTTTGATTTCCTAATCAGCCTCCTGCCCGATTCATTCAGAGATGTCACACACCAGAGTTTGACAGCACAATTAGTCACCATGGAAGCTATTGTGATGTCACAAACACTGAATTGTGGCATCATTGAATGAATCTGGCAGGAGAAGGATGTTGGTTACAAAGGAGAAGGCTTCTGTTTACACAATACCTTGGTAATCAGCAATGATGGGAAAGAGAATATAGAAAAAGAGAGCCTGGTAGTTTAATGAGCATTGATAAAACTGAAAATTTGTAAAGGTTGTTAGAAACGCGTATGTGGCGTATTAAGCTACTGAGATAAAGATTCTGTAATTTATACCTTAATTCTTCACCTCGTCCTATGTCCTCAGAACTGAAAGTGTATCACAGACATACACAGATATTTCAGATTTTTCTATATTAGGAGAGATACCCGATAAAACCATTAAATAATCAGGACATCCTATGATTTTTTTTTTTTTTTGAGTGCTATTCTGTAAAGCAGTGAATTTATCTCTGTTTAACAGTACCGGTTTAGGGCATAACATCTCCAGCAAATTGTTTGCTCTTTTTTTTTATTGGTAAGGGTTCTGAATTACATTTTCAGACATGAAAAACCTCTGTTAGCTACAGATAGCATTCAGAATCCCAGCGCTGGTGATCACAGCCTATGATTTGTCTTCCTCTATTTTCTAGAAAAAATTCCCCGTGAAGTATATCACCTAATACTCCAAACACTAGACTTTTCTAAAGTGTTATTGTATGCTATGTAGAATTACAGATAGAGTGTCTGAGCGACATGCAGTTGCAAGCTGCACGGCAGAACCCTGCAACTAATCAGTGCCACAAAATAACAGGAAAAGCAAGACTGAATAACATGAGATCCTTTCAGGTACTGTAATTAAACCAATTCACAGTGTTATTTAATTCCCCACAGTTCTTCCTCTCGCTGCCTTCTTGAAACTGTAACCATGACACCTTAATTTCAATCAGGTGGAGGAGCTGCTGCCTGGAGAGTAGATGCCACTGCTGGTCCAGAAATTGCCCAAGGATTTGCGGGTGGTGCCACCATTTTTCCCTGCCTGAAGTCAAGTTTAGCCAACCCCCTCCCCCACCTCAGCATGTCTAGCTTTCATAAGCATTACTGTAGGTATGCAAAGCTGAGTCTGTTCACCCAGGTCTCCCAGCTGGTGATGAGCTGAGCTGTTTCACAGGACCGGTACTCTAAGGATCAAGCTTAATTTGCCTAAGCTGTTTATTTGCAATAGCTTCAGACACAGCAAGGTAGCAACAGAGCGCTAGCGTGAAGATTAGACAATTATTTTTCTTTTTTATAATAAAAAAACAGAGGATGGGAAATAAGAGAAGGACTTAAAATGGCTTAAACGCTTAACATCAAATTGTAATACACAAAAAGCATGTATGTGACTTCAGCTAATGTACAAATAAAAGCAGTGGAAAGAAAATGGTCTGGCTGGAAGCACATTAATACGAATTACACATATTTTATGTTCCCAAGTAACCATGCCACCCCTTTGACCGTTCCCTACCTAATCCTAGGTGAGGGTGATGCTCCACTAGAGTCCAGCTGTTATCATCCACACAATGACTTTTGTAAACGAGCAGCTGACAGAGGTCCCTGGCTGTCATGTCTGCTAGAATCTCGACCACTTTGCTTGTTCCATCTTCACTAAAGACTTTTACATCCTGCAACATAAAGGGTACACTTACAGATCAACAGCTCTGAACATAGGCAAACCACACAGCTACTGTAGAAAAGCATCCTCTTGGTGTGAGGGTTCCAAGCAGCTTGGCAGCCAGGACAAATGACATGGATGATTCACTTTACAACACTTTCTCTTGATGCCCCCTTGCCCTATTTCCCCTCCCCCCTCCCCAACACCTCCCTGCACTAGACAAAGATTCAGCAGGGTTAATATGACCACATACACAGAAAAAGTGAAAGAGCAGGTTCCGTATAAAGCTGTGTAAGGTAAGCAAACGTGAAACAATATTGAGAGAGTACTTGGGCAACAGCGGGCGAGAGAAATTACATCCAGTCAAACGTGCACAATTTTCTTTGCGATCCCAGCAGAGGCCTCCGAACATTTACAGAGGAGCAGGCCAAGACCCTGAAGATTAAAAATGGCTCTCTTGTTCCCCACTAACTTTTGACTGTTTCACTTGGGGAAGTCCCACTTGCAGTTCGCTGGTGGATCAATTAGCTAGCACAGTCCACACATTTCTCTCCCTGCCTCGACTTCTCTTTTGATCCCAGCTTGAAAGTAGTTCGAAACTGAATGCGCACACACTGCACATCCTAAGTATTAATGGAGATGAGAGAACAAGTCAGGAACCTTCTCCCCACCTCCTGAATTATACAGATGCTTTCCTCTTTGCATTGTTCTGCTCGAGCGAGAGACACTTGCCGCAAAATTATTTCTCCGGGCGAATGTGCAGGTCACAGATTTAAATCAACTCCGCGTTTAAAATGCTCCGCATCCTAGCGAGAGAAGGCAAATCTAACAAAAACCTGGAGGGTAATTTGATATGGAAAATCTTACCTCAACGGCACGTAAAAGGCAGCAGTCGGAAGAACAAGATGGCATTTTAAATAGAGATTGCCTCTTGAGAGAGAGTTTGTTCTCTACCTCCGCCGACCCTTTGTAGCCTACGGCTGGGTGCCCGGGGTGCCGGCGGTGTCAGCGGACGGCGGTACCGTACCTGTCACGTAGCCCCTGCTATGGGGACTGTTTCTGGGGAGGGAAACAACTCTGCCAGAGCTCCACTCAAAGGGTTACACGCAATCTTTGCGGTAGTGAATCAAACCACACTGTGTAGACCAATCCTAGCCCTCCCTCCGACTGATGTAATCATTTCCCACACACTATCAGACTTCCAAATTATTCCCGCCCCCCCTACCCCCCAAAAAAAAAGAAATTACAAAGGAAATTTGTTTTTATGAGCACCCATGGGCGTTTGAGACCCCTCCGGCAGCCCCGAAGTTCAAAGGCGG